CGAGGGGCCTCCAGTTCCTTTATTGTATCGAAATTGGCGGGGAGGTCATGGCGGAGCAACAGGACCTTCTCCGCAAAAAAGCTCGCAAATGCCTCACAGCTGTGTGTCAAATTGTGTGTTAAATTTGGCTGTCCTTCGAGGGACGTTAAAGACCGAATTATACTAAATAATTGCGCCGGGCGAGAGCTGGCGGATGCAATGGAGGCCGAGAAGTAGGACTTCTTAGCGGCCTTCACTGCCATCTCATAGGTTTTCATAAAAACCCTATAAGATGTTCTTGAAGCTCCGTCACGGGCACCCCGCCATACTCGCTCTAGCCGTCTGAGGTCCCGCTTCATTTTCCGGAGCTCCTCGGTAAACCAGGGAGCCCGGTTTCTGCGGGGTCGCAGAGGGCGCTTAGGTGCGATCTCATTGATGGCTGCCAGGAGCTGGGTATTCCAGCCCTCAACAAGCTCAGTCAATGAGTCGCCAGGGGGAGCAAGGTCCCGCAAGGCTTGACGGAATCTATCAGGGTCCATCAGCCTCCGCGGGCGAGCCCAAATCGGCTCGCCACCTAAGCAGGGTGGGGGTGGAACGTCAATCCTGGCTTTCAGAGCGTAGTGATCAGACCATGGCACCTTCATCGAAGGAAACATGATCACATCTATACCGACGCCAAAGATCAAATCCAGCATGTGGCCTGCTTGATGTGTGGGGCCCGAAACAAACTGGGAGAGCCCTAGTGTCGCCATGGAAGACACCAGGTCCAGAGCTTGTGAGGAGGGAGTGGCATCAGCATGGATGTTGAAGTCCCCCAATACCAATAGGTTAGGGAACTCCAAGGCCCAGCCGGCCACCGCCTCCAGCAGGCCTGACAGGGTGGCTGCTGGTGCGCTAGGTGGCCGGTACACCAGCCAGACAGCCAAGCTCACCTCGGAGCCCCACACTAGGCCAACACATTCAATGCCGGGGATCGATGGCGATGGTAGAGCCCTGAAAGAACAATCTTCCCGGATTAATAATGCCACCCCTCCCCCCCGGCCCACAGTCCGCGACTGGTGGAGGACGGAGAAACCCGGGGGCGCCATCTCTCGTAAGGTAACAGTATCCCCTTCGTGCACCCAGGTCTCTGTCACACAGGCCAGGTCGACCCCCTGAGAGATGAAGAAATCTCGTAGGGTGGCGGTTTTGTTGCCTATAGACCTGGCATTGCACAACACCAGTGACGGAGGTGAGTAATCCTTGCTCACCCTACCCTCGTCTCTCGGGATGGGGCGCAGATTGGAAGGGGTACGAGCATATCCGTATCTCGATCCCCTTCGCCTATAACATCTGCCCCCACCGCCATACCTCCCTCGCCCCTCCACAGTAGGAATCCCAAGCCTCATATTCGCCTCCATTTACAAAATATAAAAGCAAACAAACAGAAACAATTACACCAGAACAAAACCAATCCCCACCCCACTCAACAACCAGCCCACCCCAACCCAAAATAAAACAAAACAAAATAAAAATACATGGATAAAACCACCGTTTATGGTGGAACAACAGAATAAAAAGTAAAAACACCTTTACAACGCTTTAAAATATATAAAAACATTTTAAAAATTTGCTGCAGCAGCACCAGTGTCCCCAAAGTTGTGGCAGTGGTGGGTGTGGGCCCCACCCCCCGGGCCCAAGATGGAGAATGGGCTTCAGGGGGGAGCGGTCCCCCCCACAAACTCACGGCAGAGCGGCAGCAGCAGTGTTCCGAGGCCTCCTTGGAGCCTTATGTGCTGAGGTGGAGTATGGGGCCCGCCCCCAGGCCCAAGATGGAGAATATTATTATTAGGTTAAAATATGCATAAAAATAAGTACATTGTAGTGAAGATAGCATACAAAAGAAGAAATTGCTTGCAAAAATATGTGCATTAGTCAAAACTGCATACAAAACTGTGCTTATTGGGATAAATTCTGAAATGCTGAAGAGCTTTCATGGGGATTTAAAACAAGCCTCAAATTGCTGTAGAAATGTGAAGAACTGATCTGACCTGCTTGGCTTCAAGAACATGGTGGTCTCATGTGCCCTGAGACAGCTTCTTTTCCCCCCAGAGCAGGGGTTTTAGGTTACTCTGGCTCATGTCCAACAATACCCACCTCTCTACACTAATTATTAATTGATGCACTATGCTATTGTATTTTGTAAAACGTGGTTTGTGTCTTTGGTTTTGCAAAACAAGTGTGGGGAACAAATCCAGAAAATGAACTTTTGCATTCTGTCCAGCCCTCTGGTTCATTGTAGTAGCAAATGCTCCGAATTCTTCTTTTCAACAATCTCTTATAAACCTTATGTGTACCATTTACTGCTGGACTCTAGCCTCTTGTAGCATTGCTATATTATAGAGACATAAGGGCTCATCTTGATGGGAATGAAAATAACTTATTATCACTCCCTTGGTAATGATGGGACATTGAATGCTGGTCAGAAAAGAAAAATGGAAAATTAGGGGAATGCAATAGAGGGTACCCTAGAAAAGGGTGTGGTTGGCTGGAACCCTGAATAGGATCCCTACTGTTAGGAAGGAGCATTTTGTTACATGTTTCACTTATTAATTTGTTGTTGTTACTGCTATAGCACCTTTAGTCTTTCTTTCAAGGAACTCACAATCTAACATCTGACAGAGGGGAGGCAACAGTGGAAGGGCAACGAGAGGGAGACAGAGATGAACAGGAGAAAAATATGTGTTTATTTTCATTAAACATCCTTTGAGTTACTTATAGTAGGATATGGAGACGTAGGACTTTTTCCTAAAGCCTTCACAGAAAAGATGGGCTTTGATGAGGGATTTGATGGGAATGAGCAGTTATAGAATATTCAGCTGATAAATCAGAATAATCACCTGACTGCAGGTGACTTGAAAGAAGTGGGGAGAGAAAGGAGTGGCAGAGCACCGATTCTGATAATTTGTAGTCGCTTTCATGTGTTCAGAAATGCTCACTTAAAGCATTTTATATTTCTCTCTCTCCTCTGTGGAAGAGAAGGCACTTCAATTCATCCTGCACTGAGGCACTTATCCCTGCACTGAGCTCAGTTTTGTCCTGGCCTGTGTGAAGCAATAACACACGTTATGCAATGAACAGCAAAAGTGTTTGTGGTGAGATAAGCTTGACAAATGCAGTATTCAGTGTGGTATCAGGTCTGTGGGCTCTGTCCGTCAAAGAAACCTGGTTCAGGGCTAGCCTAGCTAAGGTGTCAAGTTATTTGAGGGGTGGCACTGAAACCTCTTATAAAAGGCACATCCCAGGATCCGTTGCAGTCCAGGCATCTCCCCCCCACACACTTATGTGTGTTCTACTTGCACATGACTGGACACGGTGCTGGGAAATTGATAAACAAATAGAATCATACCAGGAAATGGTGAGAGAGAGCTGGAGGGACAGCATGGCTCACGAGGAGAACCTTTCCAGAGCCCGAAGAGAATGTCAGTGAGGGCAGAGGAAACCCCGAAGAGACTTGAGGCACAGTGGGGCTTTGTTTAGGCTGCTCAGTCTCCCCTGTTAACAGCTGATGTGCAGGGTAGAACTCACTTTCTCATGCATCCTCCAGCCTGCAGCCAGTTTTGGTTTGGATTGAAGAGAGTGCGGGAGAAAGATTGGGAGAGCAGGGGGGAAATTGGCATTTAGAAGCTTTTTAGAGGGTGCTCCCAACTTCACACAATTTCACTTACACACACAGGGGGCGGAATGTGCCTACCATGTAAAAAGGTAAAGGGACCCCTGACCGTTAGGTCCAGTCGTGGCCGACTCTGGGGTTGCGGCGCTCATCTTGCTTTATTGGCCGAGGGAGCCGGCGTACAGCTTCCGGGTCATGTGGCCAGCATGACTAAGCCGCTTCTGGTGAACCAGAGCAGAGCACGGAAACGCCATTTACCTTCCCACCGGAGCGGTTCCTATTTATCTACTTGCATCTACTTGCACTTTGACGTGCTTTCGAACTGCTAAGTTGGCAGGAGCAGGGACCGAGCAACGGGAGCTCACCCCGTCGTGGGGATTTGAACCGCTGACCTTCTGATCGGCAAGCCCTAGGCTCTGTAGATTAACCCACAGTGCCACTCGCGTCCCTGCCTCCCATGTAAGTACGCCTATATTGCAAAGGATGCTCAGGTGCAGCTACTGGATCACATGTGGGCATGACTTGAGATCTGTACCCTAGCATTCTCTCTGTAGCATTGCAAAGGATTCTTAGATCAGGGGTGGGGATTCTCAGGCTGTGGGTCAGATGTGGCCCTTTGGGCCCCTCTCTTTCTGGGCCCTTCTCCAAGCTGCACCTTTCTCCAGCCACACATGCTCTCCTAGCCGGCCCAGTTGTGCTGCCACACATCCACCTTCCCCTTGGGCTGCTGCTCTGTCAGCGGGTGAGCAGCAGTGCAACTTTTGAATGGGAGAAGAAATATTGTGTGGCCACATTAGGAGTTGACGAATGTGATTTCGGAGGACATCAGTGTTCCAGGGACTCCCTGAAGTCTTACACCAGCTAGTTGTAGAGCGCACTTTTGTTCCACAGGCACTTGGAGTGTTCTTGGATGTTCACCCAACGTGCGCCAGATCCCTGCAGATACGATGAGTCTATTCTGAGCTAATCTCTTGACCAGCTGCATGTAGCTCAGTTGGTAAATCTCAAGGTTAATCTCAAGGTTATGGGTTCGAGCTCCACATTGGGCAAAAGATTCCTTCATTGCAGAGGGTTGGACCAGATGGCCCTCGTGGTCCCTTCCAACGAGGGATGGAAGCTTTCAGGTGTACTGGAGTGTCCCTGGGAAAGATACGCCTGTCTTTCTGCGGTGCCTTTTCCAGCAACATGCAACATACTGAGTTTTGCAGAGAATGCCATGTAGACACTCTCTGAGAGAGCTGGAATCTGAATGTTATCTTAGTTTTTCACTATTTAACTGCTTTTCTCTTTTCCAGTGATAAATAGTTCAATTTCTATTACAAAGAGATGGATTTTTGTTTTTAAATGTACTGTCTCTTCCTTCAATTAGACTCCAGCCTTGGCTTCTAAGCCTGTTGCAGACAGCCTTCTCATGCTGCGTGACGAGAGGTGGAAAGATGTCCGAAGCCTCTTGACCCCAGTCTTCGGTGCTGCAAAGACGAAAGAGGTAAGATGCAGGAAGTAGGTGCTGTGATTCCATGTACAAGAAGCTTTTCTTTTTCTTCTTGCTGGATGTTTCCCAAGTGTGTGATGTTTAGATGACTGCGTAATTAATGGCTGTCAGTCATCCACTGACAAACTGTTTAATGCCTCGCTGCTTTACCTATGTAAAGTCATTGCTTTTTTGGGGTTTTGTTTTGTTTTGTTTATCAGGCTGTTTATCAGAGAACCAAGTGTGAGTTTTCTTTTGTGAATTCTTTGTCCCATTTGTCAACGCCAGGCATCCCCCAACTCGGCCCTCTGGATGTTTTGGGACTACAGTTCCCATCATCCCTGACCACTGGTCCTGTTAGCTAGGGATGATGGGAGTTGTAGTCCCAAAACATCCAGAGGGCCGAGTTTGGGGGTGCCTGGTCTATGCTCTCCGAGAACCCAGTAAACTTTGGCTCCTGATGTCTCTACAGATTGCAAAGGAGCAAATTTTGTGACACTGGAAACCTGGAAATCTCCCGAGGGTACGAGAGCTGGAAAGCTAGGGCAGTTTGCAACCAGAAAGCAAGTTATGTAAAATAAAATTGCCCTGCATGGTTGGGATAGCAATATTTGGTTAGCATTCCTGGATTGTTTTGGTTAGAACTTGATGGTGAGATTTCTCTCATTGCCTGCATTTTTGGGGGTCTGTCGTTTGTTTTTATATGACCGTTCAAGAATGCAATTGTGTGAGAGCAGGCAGCGGTGACTGGTTTGGGAGGTTCTTCATTTAATGTAGTTTAGCATATCACGTCAATAGCATGTGTGGGAGGTCAAGGAGCAATTATTTGGCATTATGAATAAAAGTCCATCTCCTCCAGATTGGTCTACTCTGATTGACAGCTGCCTTAGGGCCTCAGGCAGAGGGGATTCTTTCCAGTAGTGGGTGGGGCAGGGGTGCTTACCTGTTGTTGTACGCCATCCCAAGCTCTCAACGGTGCAAGATTCCAGGGGTTCCAGCTGTGTTTCCTCTTGGAAATGAGACACAACAGAGGCAGTGGTGGAGGAGGTAGGGGCTCCTAATCCATTTGCTGTATCACACAGAGTTCCTTTGATCCATTGGCTTTCCTAATGGCTCATCACCCCAGGCTATATCCTGGACATAGGGAATTTTGCCTAGCTTGGTTAAGCTCTTCACACATTTCCAGAGGATTTAGAAGTGTCTAGTACACAGCCTAATGCACAGGGTCTGGCTTAATAACACATTGGTCTGTCAACCCAGTTTTCACACTTCAAGCATTGATTAAATTCTAACACATGATGGACCTAGAACTTTAGGGTGACTTGCACCTGCAAACTCATTACACTAATATAACTATTATAACATATTATAATATACTATTATATAATATATAAGTTGTTTATTTTAAAGTTATTGTGATTTTTAAAAAAATATTGGATCAGATTGTTACTATTAATGTTTGATGTTTTATTATGTATTGGAAGCCACCCAGAATGGCTGGGACAACCCAGCCAGATGGGTGGGGGATGGATAAATAAATTATTATTATTATTATTATTATTATTATTATTATTATTATTAGCACTGATATTACTACAGTAAATGTCAGTAACACTAATATTACTACAGGGTTGTTGTAAGGATGGCAGCTAGACAGCCCCTGTGAACTACTTGGTATATTATTGTTCTCCTCATGCTACGTGCACTTTCTCATTGTCTTTTATCTCATCATCTGTGCCAGTGTGTACTCATGAAAGTAGATCTATCAGGGTCTACTGGTAGATCTCTGGGTGATTTTTGGTACATGGGCAACAGTTCTGGGATTCCAGTTGTTTAACAATAGCAGCAGCAATAGGACCTTACGCACCCAAATTAAGTTGCTGAAATGAAGGAATTGAACCAGGAGTCGATTTTCGTTTGAAAGGATTGTGAGCTCAGTTAAATCCTGGGACTGAAAACGTGTTCATTTAAAGAAACCCTGTTCTTTAATTTGAACTGCACGTCTTTTGCACAAGGATCTGGTTGGCAGATCTTGTTCTTGTAAGAAAGCAAAACCAAAATAGATCTGAGAAGCATGAAGTCTGCCCACCCACCGTCTAGCACATGACCAGTCCAGACAGTGTAGCAGCTTCATGCATGCCGGCGGAGCTTTCTCTTTTTCAGCTGTGGCAGAGTGGCTGTTTCCCCATATGATTGTGGGGCTCCATCTGGTGCGTGCAGAGGGCTCTGGATTGCAACTTGCAGCTTCAAACGAACACAGTAGCCATGGTTATAGCTTGCATGTTCCCTGGTTCAGTTCCATTGGTTCAATACCTATTTTATTCATACCAACACTGGAATGCTAATAGGAAATACACCTTTCTGGCAAAAGTGGAGTCCCGGGTAGTGCTGGTAATTTATTTTTGCTTTCATTAGTAACCTGACCTTAACCATTGCCTGCCACAGGGAAAAAAGTCTTTGCTGTCTCCCTTACTGATCATTGCAGAGTTATGAGCTCTCTTTCACATATAATGCATGCAACACTGAAACAGAGTGCATGTTTGTGTTTGATAGTTGTTATTTTTTATTCTAATAGCAATAAGTTGCTAGAATAAAACAGAACTGCAAGGCAAATTCTTCAGACTGGACAGGAGTTATCTTAGTATTCCAGTGCGGCTGATTTCTCCATACATTTTTCAAGCAGTGCGAGACTCAATTTAGACTGCGACCAACTTCCAGCAACTCTTGATTAAAATCCAGAGAAATGCCTCAAAATTCATCCCTGAAAGGAAGGTGGAATTCTCTTCTTTTATAATTTTAGGCTCAGAAAGTAAACACGTTCCTCATTCCAGTGCCTGTTCTTCGGTTGTAAAAATTTTCCACTGGTCAGAAGCCTGTGTTGTTTTGACATGCTGCTGTCGAAATCCACAGTAGCATCTAAATGTGTCTGGCTCCTTTAGCTCTATAGACAGCTGTTGCTTAGCAACACCAGCTGTCACCTCCTTATTATGGTAAATTCTAATTGGCCATAAGCCTGGCACGGACTCCTGATTAATCAGAACTGACAATATCATTGGTTATGCACCTAGACAACTGACTCTGCCCCCCCCCCATTTGATAGCAAATTTAATAAATCCTTAGGATTTTAAGGGTGTGTGAATGTGTTTGGGTGTGTGAACAATAAATTCAAAGGCCTCTTCAGTAAATGAGGGTGGGGGAGCCGAAAGAGAGAGTTTTGCTTTGCCTTGGCAGAAATTAATCTCCCTTACTGTGGGTCATCATTGGCACAGGGAAAATCCTCTAGTTTTACTTCTGTTTTTATACCTAACGAAAGATAAGGCCCCTGGTATGTGCAGAGCAACCCCTGCCGGCATGAGTCAGACATACTTTAGCTGCACAAATGGTTCCTTGGACATTGTGCTTTGCAGGGATGGATGTCTGTGTTTACTGAGTTAATTATTTAAAGGAGAGAAGGGAGCGCACACTGTTGGGTCTCATGCTGTATGGCTGTTAAGGGGCAGTGCCAACTGCTAGCAAGGGAGAGAGAGCAGAGACTCGTACATGGCAATTGCAAACTGTTAAAACAAGCAGCAGTGACAACAGCAGAGTCTTGTGGCACTTCAATATTTATTATGGCATAAGCTTTGGTGAACTGGAGTCCACTGCATCAGATGCAGCAGGAGCTCTAGTTCATGAAACCTTATGCCATAATAAATGTGTTAGTCTTCAAGGTGCCACAGGACTCTTTCTCGGTGTTGCTGCCATGAGCTAACACACCTCCCTCTCTGTAAACAGTTTGGGTTTTGTTCTTGTTGTGGTTGTGGTTGTTTTGTTACGGTAACAGTTCTATTCTTAGCTCCCTGTTTTAAATTGGGAATAGAGGAAGCTGCTTTATACTCATTCAGACTCTGGGTTCATCTAGCTCTGTATTGCTTACACTGACTGGCAGTGGCTTTCCAGGGTTTCAGGCAGGAGTCTACACCAGGCCTACCTGGAGATGTTGAGGAGTGGAGCTGGAATCTCTTGCATGCAAAGTGGTAGATACTCTGCCATTGAGCTATTGCCCCATTCCCCAATTCTGTATATTTTGCCTGTCAGCAGGATATTCTAGTTTGTAGCAAATGGGGGTCTCCCTTCCCTTTTGCCGTAAATACAGTGGTACCTTGGGTTAAGGACTTAATTGGTTCCGGAGGTCCGTTCTTAACCTGAAACTGTTCTTAACTTGAAGCACCACTTTAGCTAATGGGGCCTCCAGCTGCTGCTGCGCCGCTGCTGCACGATTTCTGCTCTCATCCTGAAGCAAAGTTCTTAACCTGAAGCACTATTTCTGGGTTAGCGGAGTCTGTAACCTGAAGCGTACGTAACCTGAAGCATATGTAACCTGAGGTACCACTGTACTGGCAACAGAGAGTGGAGAAACCAAAACAGTGATTCAAGCACACACCAAAGTATATCTGATGTGCCATTTTCTTCTTCTTTTCAGAAGTGTTCAATTCCCCATGCAGAAAGTCCTCACAAGTAACCACTACTTTTATTCTGGAGAGCCACTGTGGTGTAGTGGTTAAGAGCAGTAGATTCATAATCTGGGGAACCGGGTTCGCGTCTCTGCTCCTCCACATGCAGCTGCTGGGTGACCTTGGGCCAGTCACACTTCTCTGAAGTCTCTCAGCCCCACTCACCTCACAGAGTGTTTGTTGTGGAGGAGGAAGGGAAAAGAGAATGTTAGCCGCTTTGAGACTCCTTCGGGTAGTGATAAAGTGGGATCTCAAATCCAAACTCTCCTTCTTCTTCTTCTTCTTCTTCTTCTTCTTCTTCTTCTTCTTCTTCTTCTTCTTCTTCTTTCAACATGAGTGAGATTGTTACTCACCTATGCTGCCGCCTGAAGCGACTCTAAGCATGATTTCTCCTCCTTTTTGTACCCCCCCCCCAATTTTTTCTGTTTTCTAAAATGCATTATAGATTCAGGTGATATTATTGCCTGTTCCTGAAAAGAGCCCTCTGTCTAAAAACACTGTCCTGTATAGCAGTAGTGCTTA